GACCGATAGGGGGGCTGAAACCCACCTAAAAAGGGTTTAGAACCGCCCCTGGTATAGCGTGCGTAATTATACTGAAACATAAATATATAACCAGTTTACCTGATTTAATGTGATGGCTGAGCCTCTTTCTGAGATAACAATATGCCAGTCCGTGGTTGGATTTCCGACGCAGCTAATCGTAAATCATTTACACTGTCAATAAGCGTGACCAGGGTTGCCAGGTTTTCACAACAAAACCCGCCTAATTGCTACTCAAACCTAGCCCAAAACTACAAATGCGGCAACAGTGTTAAAGTAGCCCAATTCCGCTGGAAAACCGCGGACTTGGCAACACTGAGCATGACTGATACTCGAGCCAACTCTGCTCTAACTGTCGACTAGCAGTGGGAGTCAGATTGCCCCCTAGTGGATGGCTAAAGATTTGTTAACTCGTATTCATAAATCCTCAAGGGAACATCTCTGAATTAACTCTGAATCAAGGAGGTAAGAGTGCCAGAGAAGAGAGAGGTCACTGATGTGAGGCCTTTTAACTTCTATGGAGATCACATCTCCAGGGGGTCAATGAGCCAATGGTGACTTAAACTTTCAGAGGGGAAGTTTACAACTCTTTGTATTCGAACATGGTATATGTAACTGGATTGGGTGTTGATGCAAAAACTATTAAAGAGACGCGTTTAGCTGATTCACCCCTAGTCAGACACCGCTATGTCACGTAACAGCAACAAAAACAAACAAACACTGAACAATTGTCTTTTTATTAACTAACATTAACACAGATTAATAAATGTATTGTTCCATGTTCGTTTGTATACTAGTGATGCAAAGTCCGATTCATTTCCGCAAACCGGTTCTTTTGTGTCAACACATATTGAAACATTCAAAAAATAAAGTTATTTGTGTGAAAGCATATTGCTGATTATTGCCATATAAGTCAAGTTAATGGTGTTTCTGGTCACAGTTTCATTAGTGGATCCTTTGTCTGTTGGATTATTTGTTAAATATAACAAATAATTGTGTGTCTGGTTTATCCAGACGTTACACATTCTTTCATTCATAATAAGACCCATCTCAGTTCCCCCAGCCTGCTCTCCCAGAAAGTCGTATTACCTCCCCTCTCATGGACGGGATTTTCAAATTTAATTTGGTCCCAGTAGCGCAGAGGAACACTATATGACAGCAGACTCTCTCAATTATTTACCAGAGCACTGTCTGAGAGATGGCTCTTAATGTGAATCAGTGAGCGCAGCATATAAAGTGGTCATCACACAACTGGCAGGCAGACGATCTCTTTAGGTCCACCGTTGTGCAGTGGGAGAAAGGACCTGAGCAGAACCACCATTTGATACGATGGCATTACACGCCGTGCTCTCAACAGATGTGTTTTGCACTGGAAAGCAATTAATAGACACCCCTGCCCTTCTCCCCAGATGGAGGTACAGTGCAGTGAGTCAAAGGAACACAAACACCGGAGTGACTTTGCTATTGTTTTCCTGTCACAGAACACAATCTAGAATGTGAGTTGTAGAACACTGCGCCTCAAGGTAATCTCTTGTTATTGCCCTAATTAAATGAAGGGATTGCATCTCGTTCTGTTGTCTTTATCAGATCATCCCAGTGTGCTGTCGGGGCCCCGTGCATCCAATTATTTACTCCACTGTTAGCCATTAATCATGGGAAATGGATACAGAGCGCTGTTCTTTGAGAAGCCCACACTTCGTACCCCCATGAGGACGGGTTGTTTGTAAAGATCAGACTTGCTGACTGAAGACGAGTGGCATCAGCACTTCCTCTCGATAAAAGGGCAGTTTGCGCTGAGGGGCCGGCGAGGCCAGGACCACCCTCCGGGCTTTTGCAAATGGCTGAACTTGAGAGTACGCAGTCAGAGAAGGGTGCCGACTGGTGTCTCACTCACCCACTGAATGTCATGTCTTGCTCAGAGAGAAGCACCCTGGGGTGACGGAATGCATGGAGATGTTCAACGTGCTAATATCATTCACCTTTTACCCCAGTCTATCTATTTGTTTTTGTTTGTCTTTTAACCACACTGAGGGGATACTCAAGCTTCTCATCAGCGTGCTTACATTACAGTTAATATTAGTGGAGCTACTTATTACTGATCACAAAACACAAAATCCGCCAGTGTGCTGAATACTGTGTTAATGTAACCTTTACAGTGTTCTGGGTTTATGTACAGGTGCATCTCAATAAATTAGAATGTCGTGGAAAAGTTCATTTATTTCAGGAATTCAACTCAAATTGTGAAACTCGTGTATTAAATAAATTCAATGCACACAGACTGAAGTAGTTTAAGTCTTTGTTTTTTTTAATTGTGATGATTTTGGCTCACATTTAACAAAACATTTCCACGACATTCTAATTTATTGAGATGCACCTGTAGTTGAGGCATTCGCCCCAGTGACAAGAACTTAATGCACTGCTGTATAAGTGGACAGTTTCATGTGCAGTTTCAGCTTTATTACATTTGCAAGAACCATCTAAAGACAGTTTGAGGTAGGGTATTGCATACTGTAAGAGTAGTTTCTTTAGATCAAGAATCAAAGAATAGCTAGACTTTTTCCATCCCACACTAAAGAGAGAAAGTTAGGTCTCTGCTTAAAGTTTAATTCCAATGAGACCCAACCAATTTCTCCTGAAAGGGTTGGTCTTTTTTTTTTTTTTTTCAAATAGACTATGTGCAAGTTTTAAATGTTTGGACATAAAGGCATAGTATGTGCTGAATGAGAAATTAATTTGTGATGAAAATGACCCCAAGTTCCTTCACTTTGCCAAGGTGCAATTACTCATGAGTCTGTTCACACCTTATCTCTGTCCTCTGCAAGAAATATGTTAGTGTGTGAATTCCTTTTAAGTCATGATTCCTGCAACATGTTCTGTTCCATAATAATCAAAACTCCACTCACAGGAGTGCCGAAATGGGGTTAATGACAGTTTATTCATGGATGTAAAATGGTAAAATTATCACACATTTATTTAAATAAGTGTTGCCTTTAATGGAATGGAATTCTAATAATTGCAGACTGTTGCTTTGCAAGTCTGTTGAATTTCGCTTTAATTTTGTCATAGGACAAATCTATGAATTATATAAATTGTTGTTCTGTATGGATTATCCTGAAAAACATGCTCTGTTTTGACTGTTCATGTTTCAGGTTTCCATTCCCATCTTTTTGTGACATTTGGGATGTACTGAAGTAGTATAGAAAAAAAAACAGATACGATGTGAATGTGCATAAAGAAAGTCATGTGGCTCAGGCTGCTATTATCTCTCTCAGATTTCTGTCCTTAAATACTAGAAAATAATATTCTGTGATCAATTCAAGTTAAGGTCAGTCGACAACATGAAAATGAATAAAAAATACTTGCCACCATGACAATGCAATTTCATAAACCCTAGAACTCTAAAATGACTGTAAAATAATTGTTAAATACAATTCAATAATCAAATATGCTTTGTACATTGATCAATCAGAATATAGGTGTGAGTAAGAAGAGCTGAGCTCCTGTCACTGTCTGCTTATCTCCTCTCATTGGTTGGCCTTTGTTTATGTAATAGTTTAATTGCTTGGGCTGAGCACCTGTTTGGCCATCCAGGTGGCTGTTAGGCTGGAGAAGACTCTCATTTCCCAGTAGTCCCTCACAGGTGTGGAGCTCACAGCCTCACACATCTCTACACAGATGGCTGTGCTCGGGGCGGATACAGCATCTTCCTTCAACATTTGACTTTGCTTCTCCACCCCCACCCCCCACTTCCCCTCATTTTTATATAATTTTTTCTCCCAATCCTCCACAGCTCATTTTGGTTGACTAAAATCACTTATTCATCGTCTGGCTTTTTCTCAGTATATATACATCATTCTCTCACACTTGTAGTCTTGTTTCATTAACTCTGAATTCTTAGACTTTCCAAAATGCAGACTAACAGATAGTCATTGGGTCTTATTTCCTCATTTATGTAGAGTTAATATGCACTGTAACTAATGACAGCCATTTTCTCTCTCATGCTTTCGTTCTCTCTGTTTTTATTTCTTTCTGATACAGCTGTACAAACAGTGCCACAGGCGTGCAATGTAGTGCAGAAACAATATTACGATGCAAGAAGTAATCCAGTACTTTCTTAACACCCACTCATGCATAAAACCCTCCAGCTTTGTCATCCATTCCAACAGTTCCGATGGCTCTTGCGCTTCCGCACATAGACGAGCAATGAGATATCTTCAGTGGCGTACAGACTACGCTGATTCTTCATCAATGCACCACCAATAGGAATTCGCGTTTCGTCCGCGACATGGCCCCATTGCACTCTCCTGAACATCTAAAGGGCCTGACTTTTCACTTTCTTGTGCTAAGCCCGTATTACACTCTCCGCTTTTACACTCCACTTTAAATCCCAGCTGTGACTTCCGTATTGAATCTGCAGGCTC